AAGAACCAGGATTGTTGTTCTAGTGATACTGGTAATATACAAGCTACGAAGAACCAGGATTGTTGTTCTAGTGATACTGGTAATATACAAGCTACGAAGAACCAGGATTGTTGTTCTAGTGATACTGGTAATATACGAGCTATGAAGGACCAGGATTGTTATTCTAGTGATACTGATAATATACAGGCTATGAAGAACCAGGCTTGTTGTTCTTGTGATACTGGTAATATACAGGCTATGAAGAACCAGGATTGTTGTTCTAGTGATACTGGTAATATACAAGCTATGAAGAACCAGGCTTGTTGTTCTAGTGATACTGGTAATATACGGGCTATGAAGAACCAGGATTGTTGTTCTAGTGATACTGGTAATATACGGGCTATGAAGAACCAGGATTGTTGTTCTAGTGATGTGAGAACAGACATTCACATAAACAGAGAAACTGATGAACAGTATGACACATACAAAACAGCAGACATTCACATTATCAGAGAAACTGATGAACAGTATGACACATACAAAACAGTGAGAACAGACATTCACATTATCAGAGAAACTGATGAACAGTATGACACATAAAGACAGCGAAAACAGACATTCACATAAACAGAGAAACTGATGAACAGTATGACACATAAAGACAGCGAAAACAGACATTCACATAAACAGAGAAACTGATGAATAGTATGACACATAAAGACAGCGAAAACAGACATTCACATAAACAGAGAAACTTATGAGCAGTATAACACACACACACACACAGAAAATGAGAACAAACATTCACATAAACAAAGAAACTGATGAACAGTATGACACACAGACAGGCAGTGAAAAACACACATTCACGTGGAGAAACTGATTAACAGTATGACACACACATAAAGATACATATTCATTGGTAAAAAGACAAACTAAATGATACACAGAGTATAACATAAAAGGCAGATAACTTTACCATTGGAAACTTTGTGCATTCTTTATACTTTTGATAATTTTTACATAGAAGACTAACAGAAGAATTTTAAATTTACTAATATCCATAATCAAACCTGGTAATTATTTACAATATTTCACTACTACTACTAATGGTGGTGATAAAAACATGTTTTAAGGTAATTCAAATATGTGTTTGCACCACGTGGGGTTGCATTCGCGGCACCTGGTGACCGTGACGTCATACGAGAGCTCACCTGTAATAGAGCAAGGTAGTACTTTAGCGACTATGAGACGGGTCGTATAACGCGTTAGATGGGACGAAAACAATAACAGTATTCTAAGGGCTGAATTTCGTTTTGTACTTCAATTTTAGGTAAAAGTTCAAAATGTCTACTATGGACAAAGATCGTTTCCACCGAGCTGCTCAGGACGGTTACGTTGACCTTTTGCATCATGCCACAAGAAAGGACTGTAACGCTCCAGACGAAGAAGGCATGACGCCTACCTTGTGGGCAGCTTACCACGGCCACCTAAACGCGCTCCGTGTACTCACTGGCAGAGGGTAGGTCACATTGTTTTCCAGCTTTATTATCCAGTAAACTATGAATGTTTGTGTGAAGAACCTAAGTTTCCTCTCTTCAACATATGTTCCAGTTTTCTCTTTCCCTAACACCTAATCTTTTCCACTTTTATTTCCCTGTATCCACATATAATAAACGAGATATAGCTCATTAACCCTGTTGGTATGACTATAAATAAAGGCAGGTTCTACCACGTGGTTAACACGCCGGTACACTTCAGGCATGCAAAATAAAAGAAGCATTTTTGTACAACAAACACCTGTAGTGTAGTATCACCCACTTTAAATAAGACAAGTGTTTTAGTACAACAAACACTTGTAGTGTAGCATCACCCACTTTAAATAAGAGAAGTGTTTTAGTATAATAAACACATGTAGTGTAGTATCACCCACTTTACATAAGAGAAGTGTTCTAGTATAATAAACACATGTAGTGTAGTATCACCCACGTTAAACGGTTCTTCATAGCTTGTATATTACCAGTGTCACTAAAACAACAAGCCTGGTTCTTCATAGCCCGTATATTACCAGTTGTCATACTGTTCATCAGTTTCTCTGTTTATGTGAATGTCTGTTCTCACTGTTTTGTATGTTAAGAGTTTTGCATCTGTTTCTCGTTGTTTTTGTGTGTCTGATTATTTCTCTTTGTGCCTTTGACATCAGCTTGTCAGTGTCTTTATGTGTGTGTCAGTCTGTCATTGTTTATGTCTGTCTGTAAGCCAATTTCATACTGTTTGTATGCATATCTATTCTCATTGTCTAATGTGTGTATGTTTCAGTATCTGTGAATCTGTTCTTCAGTGTCTTTATTTGTCTCTACATCAGTTTCACAGTGTTTGTTCTTCATCTAATTGTCTGTGTATGTGAGTGTTATTTTGTGTGTCTCAGTGTCTTTGTCAGGAGCTCTACATCAGTTTCACAGTGTTTGTTCTTAGTGTAATTTTGTGTACGTGTTTCATTCAGTGTCTTTGTTAGGATCTCTACATCAGTTTCACAGTGTTTGTTCTTAATGTAATTTTGTGTATGTGTTTCATTCAGTGTCTTTGTCAGGATCTCTACATCAGTTTCACAGTGTTTGTTCTTAATGTAATTTTGTTTATGTGTTTTGTTCAGTGTCTTTGTCAGGATCTCTGCATCAGTTTCACAGTGTTTGTTCTTAATGTAATTTTGTGTACGTGTTTCATTCAGTGTCTTTGTCAGGATCTCTACATCAGTTTCACAGTGTTTGTTCTTAGTGTTATTTTGTGTCTCAGTGTCTTTGTCAGAATCTTAACATCAGTTTCACAGTGTTTGTTCTTAGTGTAATTTTGTGTATGTGTTTCATTCAGTCTCTTTGTCAGGATCTCTACATCAGTTTCACAGTGTTTGTACTTAGTGTAATTTTGTGTACGTGTTTCATTCAGTGTCTTTGTCAGGATCTCTACATCAGTTTCACAGTGTTTGTTCTTAGTGTAACTTTGTGTATGTGCTTGGTTCAGTGTCTTTATTTGTCTCTACATCAGTTTAATGGTGTTTGTTCTTAGTGTAACTTTGTGTATGTGCTTGGTTCAGTGTCTTTATTTGTCTCTACATC